CTGCATTCAAGTGAGAGGCTGAAGAATAAAATGGCACTTCCTGACCATGTAACATCAAAACTAACTAGCAAGAGACAACTGTTGATGAAAAAGCACACCTGCCCTGCTTCTAAGAAGATTTTTCCCTCAACTATGAAGAGACAGAAAAGCCTGAAAAAAAAAAACCAAACTCAAAACAATTTACATTTTAATACTGAATGAAAAACTCAACCCGTATTTTCACTTGTTCTAAGTTTCCTTTAGAATCTGACAAGTCAGAAAAGATGTCCTCAACTCAGTATAGCTTTTAAAACAGAGATTAAAGGTTGTCTAAACAAGAAAGGAATTAATCGTCCCTTCCCAAACTAGCTAGATATCTAAAAGGAGGAATGTAGGTATTATGCAGTCCCATGCTCTCAATGTATTCTGCACTTAGTTTTCAAAAGCCAGTCAGAATAATATATTGCATTTCTCAAAAAAACCCAAACTTTTAAGATGACACACCAATTCTTAAGGATTTACATTTGCTGGCAGAACAGTGGTGTGTGATTGTTTTTAAATAACCCAGAGCATGAAGTTCTATTTCCAGATACATTTGCATTGCTCTAAACCATCAGATAATGAAAAGTATTCTGAATATATACATACCTAATAAAGGTACAACACCAGAGGCTATTATGTATGGTACACACAGGGAAAGCAACAGAACAGAGATTACGGGTGCTGCCAGTTTACGGATTATGAAGTGTAAATCAATGTTACGAATCCCATTTGCATATACCTAAGAACAAGAAGTCAGAAGGAGAGAGGATCAATTAAAAAGCCATGCTTTGTGCTTACATTAACAATTACAAGGTTTTACACGATTCTCCTTATGAGAGGAAACAGGTGTTCCCAACTTGAAGAAAACCACGATGGCCACAGTCGAAGAATGAAAGACTCCGTACTAATCTACATCAGGGTTACAGAAAATCATGTAAACAGTGTGCAGGAGAGCAACTTAATCTTGAGTAGTATCGTGATTTAGTTGCAGGAGTGCAAGAGACCAGCTGGAAGATCATTAAATATAGCTGTGGATGGTGGTTTTATGGATGACGACCTGAGATCGCTTTGTGTTGTTAGCTTGCCAAAAGAGGATCCTGTGTATGCTAGTAGAGCAAATCTATTAAAGCTGGTAACACAGGCAGAAAATAGGATCTTACGCTGTAGTTCACAGGATCTTACATTGTAGCTGACTGGGCAGACCAAAGCCTCTGCATGTAGAATCTGTGCCTCAAGAAAGGGCCTCCATAATTCTTAAGTTTTTGCAGCTACTGTCAGGAGCCAAGGTCTCAACATGACTAATCACAGGAAAACACCAGCTCCCAATGGCTACCACTTACAGCTAGACAATGGCCTCTGTCCCACAGCCTGGATGCATCCATTTCTAAGGATGGCTCAGGAGAATGTGTGTACAACAAACAGCACCAGGGACAGTACTCAAAACGGAAGGAAGAGCTGTTGTATGCATCAAAAGGTACTCACAGGATTAAGATTAATTTCTCCAGTGTGACACCTACAGCGATTAGTAAACGGTTTAATATCTGGGACTATATGCTAGATTTGAGAGGCCACCTCCTGTACAGAGGTCAGGACAAGCACCATAACCATTACATATAAGACAGGGTTGAAAAGTTACTTTCTGACAAACAACTGAGATACTTCATTGAGACAGCAACCACAGAACTTTAAAGATTATTATCAAGAAAACTTCTGCCAAAGAAAGCAACAGGCCATGTGACTCAGAACTGTTCACAAAACCTGTTCTGTCTTAATAATCACAGGGGAATGGAAAGACCATCTTTCATATGTACTCATCTATGAATGAGCTAATCTCTACAGCTGTGGAGAAGGCAGAAATTCTGTTCTTGAGTGGCAGACATAAATATCCAGTACTTGAGACACATGTGAATTCATCTGACGAAATAATGATGTTTCTCATCACTTTAATACAAACCTGATAAAATTGCATATACATACACTCCGCAATTGCTTGATTTCAGATTTCTGAGGTTTATTTTTGTTTTAAGTGTACCTTAATGGATTAGGCTATACAATTTAAAAGGATTCTACAAAACTAGTTGCGTTTTACTCGATTACTCAAATTACTCCATTACAACAACAGTAACTCTGTTTTCCAACTCACACATTCATAAAAACATTAAAAATGTATTATACAGACAATATACACAGTTAATTTTTCCCTACCTGTTCAATAACAGTTTTCAACCACCACTGGGGACCCATCAGTGTTATGGCAGCAATTATTTTGGCATGCAAAACTCCAAGAGCCCAGTCCTAATTTTGTAAAAGTGGACAGTTAGCATTAACATCTTTTTAAATAGTTTGACAACCAAAAGCTTTTAGAGAAACTTGCTAATATTACTTGTAAGTGAAAAAATAATTATTTTTCTTTTTACATGGGATATTGTTTAAAAGACATGACATCTTCTGCAAGAAAGAGAGGGTACTCTCAAGCTTAACTGACATCTATAAAATACTCAGCTCTCTGGAACATGCTAGGCTTTTTTAATTCTTCTTTTAAATTTTAAACCTTACCAGATGTGTGAAAAGCTAAACAAAGCAAGGCACTGTTCCTTAAAAAAGAATGTCATACTATTCAGGGAAGAATTTATGCTTTTTACGTAATTTACAATTACTGTGGCGTAGAATTAAAAGAACACAATTTAACAACAGGCTTCTAGTAAACCCTGCATGTCATGTGCCAGTCTCTTCTGGGTTACAGATATTTGTGAAAAGTTCTTCAATAAAACCCACCCAGAATTAGAATGCAAAGGCTGACAAGGGAGAATAAACAGCTGCAGAACTGGTAAGCCATCATATGTTAATTAACTTTCTTAAAATGCTGGGGAAATATATTTTCTTTAAGCAGTTATTTAAAAATACAGCTTTTATTATCATCTGTTACCCCAGATACATTAAAAAAATTAAGAACTTATTACAAAAAAGTCCATGTTAAAGTTCCTTTGTGTTTGCTCAAGCATATACACTTTGTATAACTATTCTTCTTTGTCAAAAATGGGAATTATTCCCTATTTCAATAGCTTCCTGTTAATTTAGAACAAGACTCAAATCCCACCAATTTGATGTTTTGAGGAAGCTCTGCCACATGAACGTAAAGTCTTCCAGTATATTTAATTGCAAATTTTTAAAGAACTAAGATGATCCTAAAGCATATAAAAATTCCATTCATAGCATCTATCACCACTGAATTGAAACCTTGTATGAAAAAAAGTTCAGCTAAAACTTGCAGCATAACTGTAGGCAGAAAGCTTTCCAGAAAGGTCAGAGTATATACATATCTGTTTAAGTGCATACAACTATACTAACTTCTGTAGGTATCTTTACAATTATGCTACTGAAAAAAAAATATCCAATCACTAAAATGCAAAGACCCTTTAATGTCATCCCACAGCATGTAGCTTTTCATACTCTGAATTCCTAACCATATCCCTTTGGTTGAAATAATCCTCACATCCAGACTGGATGTCTTTGCCACATAAAAACACACTGGTGGAAAATGCTCTGAAGCACACAATCAACATGAAACAAGAACTTCCATACTCCTGAATTCTAAGTAAAGAAATATACCAACAGCAGAAGAATGGGAGCAACTGACCTGCCAAGGATAGAAGAGAGGTGTTTGATCCAAAGGAACTCTCAAAGGTGCAACAATAACTAGTTCAAACAGAAGACCAAGTAAAAGCGGAACCACACCAGCTAGCAGTATAGCCACTATTAATGTCTTCATTATCTAAAAAAAACAAACCAAACCAATATCTTCATCAGAGGATTCTTTTTGTTTAAATTTCAAAATGTAATTTAAACTATACAGAGAAAGCTGGAGGGGAAAAAAAATACACAGACCTCTAATTAATATACCCCTAAAAATAATGTTCTTACGTACAGTTTTGTGATGCAAGTTTTCAAGACTGGGTTCTACTCCAGTACTCCCTACAGAAAAAGGAATGATTGTGCCTGAATATGTAATAGTACTAAGGCAAGAAATTTACTACAGAAATTCTCAAAATCAAAACTAAAATAAAAAAGTGGGATATGAATTTGTTGCCATGGTGAGAATCTGAACTCATAACAATAATAAAAAAATATTTAAAAACATTAATTTGAACAGCACAAAAATCTGACAAATTATAAAGATATTCCTGAAAACAGGCATCAAGCTGCTTTGTAGGGACACGTTGCTCATCATCATCTGTCAGCTTTACTAGTTGTTTTTCTTACTTGATAATGTCAAGTTGCTAAATGAGTAATAGTTAAGCCTCCAGGTATATGTGAAAATGTAAATGTATTCAACGACACATCACACAGGGTAATCTAATGAAACAGGCACATACTATAAAAAACCATGTATATATGCATACTTATTTATACTGATGGCTTAATATTGTGCTAAGTGGCTTTCAAAAATACAGTTAGCCCATGCAATGAGAATGCAAGCTGCAAAAGTTTCAAAACAATCTGAAAAGGAAAGCATAATATACATAACAGGGTAAAACCCGGAAGCAAAACTGAGAGAACAAGTTTCATTAGTTACTTTCTTAATAATTAAATGAAATGTTTTTCTCTGGACTCACCATGAGAGACCATTCTTTAACCTTCTGAAAAATCACTCGACGCCCCTGCGGCATCCAGGCGACCAGCACTGTCACTGCTCGGATAGTTAGCCAACATACATAAAGACCACACGCAGCTGTGTAGAGCTCATGGATTTTGGCAGTCCCCGTCCAAAATGACATTAACCATCGGCCAGCAAATACTGAAAATACAAACACTGTTAAATAGAGTAATGCTTTTTGATGTATTAAGGAAGGATGCCACTTAAAAAATACTTATCGAATTTATTGTTAAATACTAACGCACACATATTATTCAACATAAAGCAGCATTTTAATACTATAACCATACAGCACAAATGTGTGAAGCACAATGTAGTTACACAGATGATGCTAAATACACGTCGGATTTTTTCCCCCTAAAAGGTCATTACACAAGCAATGTGATCTGAACTACAGCAAAACAAAGCACTATTCAGAACTCTCTGACAAAAATGGGAGACTCATTTGCTACATTTCACTTTTTAATCATGTTTCTATTCACTAATATTATACTGGAATTATTTTACATAATAAAAACCATAACAAAACTAATATCATTATTAATACAAGGAAGTAAAAATGTTCGTGGTACAATGGCAGTCAGGTTACAAAAAACAAATGAGTTTACATGTCTTAATTTATTCCAAATTATTTTTAAAAATACCCTACAAAGTGCTTTTGATTTGGTTTGAGTACTTATTCACACAATTTTGGGAAATGGCATATATATCACTTCAAAATCTCCCAGTGACCTGTCACGATGACACCTTCAGAATATTTCATTAAAAAAGATACCACAGAAGAACTGATAACAACCTATGTATTTTCCTTCTCTAAGTGGCAAAGCAGGCGTAAGAGTTTTAAGTTCTCTTTTTCTCTCAATACTACTACAGAGATTGTCTCAGAATTTGAAGCCCGCCCTTAGAAGAAAATTATTCTACAGCAAAAAAATGAAATGGCAATCTGTCATTTAAATACAGGTATTATCTCTTATCATTTACATTTTAGATTATTAAAATATGCTGATGGACCATTAAAAACAAGACATCATTTTCCATGCTTTCTCCTTTTAACTTAAAACAATAGTTCCAAAACATCTGCCACTGTTGAGCATGGCAAGATGCTGAGGTTGTTTCACTGTAGTTTCACAATAATGGACTTACCTGGTAAGGTAAGGCAGATAAGACTAGCAATCAGTAATGTTATGCACATGAAAACAATCAAAAGAAATATCTGAAAGAGGAAAAAAAAGAGAAACAGTTTATAAGGAAGTTATTTAACCAAAGCCAATAAAAACACTTAGAAGATGTGTCATCCTAGAAACACACCTAAATTAGAACAGTCAAACACCAACTCATGTTTCACTGTATAAATAAATCAGCAATAAGAAACCTACCCATAGTATACAAAGCACATTTAGTGTTACTTACTTTAAAAATTCGCATCAGTTGTTTCAACAGTAAAAATTATCATTTGAATCCAGAATGACTTAAGGGTTTTGTTGTGTTACATTAAAAAATAATCTACTGCACTGATCAGCATTACTTTCAATTAAAGGTTTCTCTGCATGCCAGTGCAGAGTGGTTTTACAACAAGGAAAGTGGTTTTACAACAAGGAAAAAGCTTGCCAAGAGAGCTCTCCCAGATGCCCTCAGGTTTATGTGACCAACAGCTGACAGCAAAGCTGGCAGATAGTTAGTCAGGTTTACATCTTATCAGAGAATTCTCATGTACTTGGTCTCTTTAAGTATTTGAATGTCTCTAGCAGCACATGCTATGAAATTCTGTTTCACTAATCAAAGCCACACAAAAAGCAATGGGGAAACTAACAGCTTATCATGACAGACTACTGAGAAAGTTAAATCTGTAACACACATTTTCCTTGATGGGACTTTTTGGGACAATGTAGATCAGTCACATCTCTACATTAGGATCTCCAGTACTGCTTAAAGGAATAAAAATCTTGATTTTGTAAATTTGATTAAAAAAAAAAAAAAAGATTCGATTTTTTGTACAATATCATGTGATTTTGTAAACATTAGCCTGAGTGAAGAGGAATGATTGCACAATACCCAGCTACTTGCCAGGTGACAGCCATGTACCCTTTTTCACACAAAATATTCTCTTTAGGGTTAGGGATCCCAAATGATGGAAGGAAGAAAACTAGAGTAGCTGACAACTGGACTGCAGACAAAAAAAAAAAAACCTCAATGGTGAGGAAAACATGGTGTGAATTGCTTGGGACCAGTATTATCTAAACAATTTGTTACTTAGGGAACGCCAGAGGAAAGTCAGTCCATGTGGGAATAAACAACATGTGACGAACTAAAGCCAGAATGAAGCTTTTGAACACTACAAACAGCTGTTTCTTCGAACAGTGAGAACATACAAGAGGAAGAGCAACTCCTGATTTGGACCTAAATAACGCACAGGCAGCCAGTCACTCTTACGAGAGATGCAGCACTGACAGTAATGGCAATATATTCAAAGATCTTGCAAATCTCCCTGAAGTTGCCACAGCAAACAGTAAACTAAAAATGGCTTCCAGAAGATGGAATAGATCTCTGTGTGTGAGTGTGTGTGTGTGTGTGTGTGTGTGTGAATAAATCAAACCAATCCAAACCAAACCAGAAAATGGATGAACTTCAATAAGTGAAATTCAAAACTACAGCCAAAGGGATTTCAGAAATAGCATACCAAAATCCACGAGAAGTAATGATACATTCATTTGTGTAGATAGGGTGTTGTTCTCAAATGCTTAAAATCCCAATAGAGAAAGTAATTACAGCACTGTTCACTAGTGGAAGTCTGTGTGGGAAACACATTTCACTTAAGATCAAGTTATCAAAGTAGAACCAAGGTCAGTATACTAAAAATTACAGCTGAAGCACCTACAGTGATGCTGAGTGATTCATTACTTAAGTATTTCTAACAAGTGGAACGAGGGACATAGAATTGCATCAGTGAGCTACCACGTGTCTGAGATTATGCAAGTGATTGAAAATCTCTTGAAAACAATGGATCAGATTTTCTATTAATTTCTACACTCTGTCAAAAGAATTACTTAAAATACCTAAATGAAGGTAAGCAGACCAGAAAAGTCTTTGGCAGCCAAATATGAAACTGCTTAGTTATTATCACCAGGTCAGCAACCCAAATTACTGAAAGCTTACAGTATGATGATTTTAGCACATGTCCTTATCCAGAAGCATCCACAAAAATAACTCACATAAAGGTATTTCTAGAAAGTATTTAACAAGTCCCTAGCTTAACACAGCCCTTACTTGAGAGTCATTTTAGAGGTTAAAATCAGGTATAGGGAATTGTTTCCCACCTTGGCTCATCCCAAAGCCCCAGCTTCAAACACCCAGAAGCTCAACAGTATCCTAAAATGATTCCAATTTTGCCCGCAGTTCTACTAGGTTGAGATTTAAGGGGAGAGAGGGGGAGGTGGTAAGAGTATAGTGAGAAAGAAAAAGCTTTATTTTGTACTTTGTCATGAGAATTCTGGTAGCTTCTGAATTTTAAGAAAACTTCATAAGCAATACTGCATTATTCTAACTTTAACCATTACTTCCACTCTTGAGCTATACCTGGAACCATAGTAAATGAGTTGTGTTTAAGTTCATATTTATTAACTCAGAGTTCTGGTAACAACAAAACAATTTATCTATATATTATATTATTCTAGAAATTGAAGTATTTGCCAACAACAAACTGCAGGGATCCAGAACTTTCAAGTATTGTAACACGCTTCTGTGTTTAATACAGATGCAATGAAAGTTCTCCATTTAATTCTTTAATAAAGCAAAATAGTTTAAAATACACTTTGGCTACAGAGGGCTATGAAGTATGCCCTCTTGAAAGCCATGCCTCCTGAACTACCTGTTTGCTGGGGAGTTATTCTGTTTCTCTTCATTATCAACAATTAGGAAAAATAAGAACATGAACTAACAGATAATACACAACAATTGTGGTAATTGAAGGTCTTAAGTTATAGGCTGAAAAAGGCTGTATGCGAGAGTAACTCTACTTTCCTAAAAGCAGAAATACACAAATAGAACAAGACACAAAACAACATGACGCACCACTTGATTTCTGATAACATGTGGGCTAAATTTTTGCCTTTTCCTTTTCTCTTAATGCATTAGATATACCTACCCTGAGCGGGAATTTTAAAGGCCTACGATAAGGCTGGAAACCCACAGGTCCTCCCTGTTGAAGTATGGCTTGATGGGCTGCATGAAGACCTTCCCCCACAACTGGAATGGCATTATTATTGCGAGCATGCTGGTTGTTAGCTTGCTGGTTCGCATTGTTTTCATTCTCTTCCTGGTCACCAAGCAGGTAAGAATGGAGATCCCTGTAACAATCAAAGTTTCAGTTTTGTTCTGTTTTGATATGATCTGACCTTACAGAAAAAGAAGCTAACCCAGAATGTGTACAAGCTGCATAAAATTTATACAGGCAGATTCTTGATAAAGTAAAATAAACCATTTTTGATAATATCCTCAATGTCATCCTAAACACAGAATTTAGAAGAAAAATCTGAGTGTGGATGTAGATTAGAACAGCCACAAGTAAATTACTTACCTGTTTGACTGCTTTAAAAACATCTGGTTTTAAAGTTGTGCATACAAATGGAAAATTGCATCGATATTTCAGTTCAAGTAAGCAGGCAGTTCAACTGCCAGCTTTTAATTTTACTGCTACTAGGCTCTACTGGAAACAACTGCCTTCAAGCCTAAACTGTACAAGGACAGTACTGAACTGCTACAGACACATTTTCCACAGTACAGTAGAGTTTTTCAAGAAGATTCTATATTGCTCAAAACCTGTTCAGAGCTTTCCAAGAACATCATCCTAAAGAGTGTCAATCTACTTTAAGAAGTATTCTGTTGGTATTTCTGGCATACATCAATAGCAAACAGATATTTGAGTCTGATTAAAAACGCCCCAAACCAATATGAACATTTAGAATCTAATTTTCCTCAGCTTTAGCAGAATTTTTATTAGCAGTAAGATGCACGCAGATATTCTCTCAGCCCAGAAAGCCAACTGTATCATGGGCTGCATCAAAAGGAGCATGACCAGCATGTCGAACGAGGTTATCCTGCTCCTCTACTCTGCTTTTGAGACACCTCACTTGGAGTACCTTGTGCAGTTCTGGTGTCCTCAACATAAAAAGGACACGGAACTGTTGGAACAAGTCCAGAGGAGGGCCATGAGGATGATCAGGGCACTGGAGCACCTCCTGTAGGAAGACAGGCTGAGAAAGTTGGGACTGTTCAGCCTGGAGAAGAGAAGGCTTCATGGAGACCTCATGGCAGCCTTCCAGTATCTGAAGGGGGACTACAGGGATGCTGGGGAGGGACTCTTCATTAAGGACTGTAGTGACAGGACAAGGGGTAATGGGTTAAATCTTAAACAGGGGAAGTTTAGATTGGATATAAGGAAGAAATTCTTTACTGTGAGGGTGGGCGAGGCACTGGAATGGGTTGCCCAGGGAGGTTGTGAATGCTCCATCCCTGGTGGTGTTCAAGGCCAGGTTGGACGAAGCCTTGGGTGAAATGGTTTGGTGTGAGGTGTCCCTGCCCATGGCAGGGGGGTTGGAACTTGATGATCTTAAGGTCCTTTCCAACCCAAACTATTATATGATTCCGCTGGCAAACAACAGAAATATTTTTCACAGCAGTCTGCCTTTTAAGAAAAGGGAAAAGATTTTCATCTTTGCTCAATTAAAATTGCTGAAGAGATATTTCACAACTGTTACCAGCTGCAACAGTAGAGAAAGCAAAGTTATTTCTATCATCATCTCCAAAATCTCTTCTGTCATACTTGAACACTGTCAAAACATGGACAAATTAAAACCGTTAAGTTTCCAAAATGCAAACTAAGAGAACAGGCTGGGGAGAGTTTCCTTAAGAAAAGCTAAAATAAGTATTCTGGATTGCAGTGGAAGACAGAAGTCTTTCATTTATCTGTCTCAGACACAGCAAAAAAATCAATCTTCGTTTTAATAGTGCTGCATTGGCAAAACCCACAATGAACAAGACATGATGAGAGAATGACAATATACTTTGAAGTTAAATCTAAAACTTTATGGAAACAAAATCAACCTATTTTTTTCATGGCTAATGTGGTAAACAACATATGAACTAAAAAATAATTTCAAGTTCTAAAGCTCTGCCTGGCAGTCTAAATTAAAGAACCTCACTTCGTATGAACATCTATTTTATCTGACAAATACAGTTTTATCCTTCTTTAGAGACTTTTAACTTGAAAATCTCCAATTTAAAAGGTATGCACTTCTTCAGTTTAGTGTTCTAAACTTTTTTTTTTCATCTTCTTATAGTAAGAAATGCAAGATGACTCATGGAAATGCACTGCTGACGCTTACCTCTAATTTTTCCATATAATAGGAAGTTAACAAGCTGTTAGTCATACTATTACAGATTTTTTTCCTTTTTATTTAACTAAGCAAATGCTGTAAGAGCATACCAAAAGAATTACTTGTAAAGAAGTAGGTACAACTACTCCTTAGAAGAAGAAAATAAGTATACAAGTTTTATATCACGGATTTATCTGTAAAATAGCTTGTTTGTTAGGTAACTCTCTGGAAAGCATGCTGCTTTCACGGTGTTCCGGAATCCCTGAACTCTGGAACATATGGTAAAAGGCTAAGCTGGACACAATGTTTGTAGTTATTTTGTTTTTCTATACTTACAACAAGTATCCAGCAGTAACAGTCCATGCTCGTACAAGACCTTTCAACCACTGTCTTGTGTGTCCTTGTTCTAGCAAAGCTGGAAGCACTACCTGAAGCAGAAGAAGCTCTAGGGAAAGCTCACTTACTGGAGCATCACTAGAAACAATAGGAAGAGCATAAAATCAGACATGAGGAACATTATGATAGTAATCTTTCACATTGAGTCACATTAACATCACCACAATAAAAAAAATATACTGGATGCCAGCAGGAACAATTCTCAGTTTTTTGCAGACATTTTTCTTTATATACTATTCTGAGGTGAAGTGTTCATGAGTGCTTAGGCATTAAGAAAGAAAAAAAATGTTGAGAAGGATTATATCAGAATATGATTTGGTCTTCTACTTGCTCTTATCATTGCCGTTTCAGTTATTGCTTAGAAACAGAAAGATACAGGTATCATTAAAAAGAAACAGTTACGGATATTCTTTTAGTCTTGAAGTAATGATAATCAGGAATGAGCGAGAAAACAAACATGACAGCAACTTCATTATCGAGAAGTTGAAAGGGAAAGTGTTCTAAGGGCACACAAAAGCCTAACAGCTATCACCATGGAAGTAATACAAAATGCCTTTTATTTTTCTTGCTGGCTTTTTATTTTGATTTATCCACATCCTTTATATTTTTATTTTCTAGAACAATTAAGTTTAGATTAATTGAAAACAAAAAAAGTGACATACCAGTGTCACATTAGAGCTCAAAGAGTGCAAATACTTTTTTTCTAGTTATAGGGAGACTGAAAAAACATCTTTCAAAAAAGAAACACTTACCTGTAAAGCATAACATTATATGGAAGAAAGTTAGGCAGAAGGTATTTAATAA